ACATTGATATATTTATATATATGCATATGTGCATACATAAGCACTCATTTCTAAGTAGAAGAATTTGTTAATTAATCACCCTTAACGGCAAAATAGCTCCCATTAGTCAAGCCTCAGGTTAATTAATTCACCAGACGATGAGTGGTATAAGTCCTAGTGTTTCTTCCTAACTACTTACTATTCCCTCCAGAAGACACGCTCGATATATCTCTCGCCGAACAGCCTGGTTTCTGCTTCTGCGGAGGCTGAGTCTTAGCACTATATCTGATAAACATTTTCTTGGAATAAAAAAAAGAATGTAATTTTTTTTGACACAGACCTATTTAATGTTAGTGAAAATAGTGGGTACCATTTAGGATTCAAAAAAATAAAAGAACTATTCAGGGAGCAGCCACAGCTTGCCATTGAAGTTGAAGCCGATTTCTTATCAACACACAGAACGCAATTCTGCCAAGAACCTGAATCAACCTGCAAATGAATTCTTTCCCAGAGCCCATGAATAAGAACCCAGTTCGGATGAGGCCTTGATTCTAGGCATCGTACAATCCTAAGCTGAGAGTCCACTCAAACCCGCCTGCACCTCAGACCTAGAAAACTGAGCTAATGATTGGATGTTATTTTTAGCTGTGAAGTTTGTGATAATTTGTAGTGCAACAACAGGCAATGTATAAACACGTCAAATAAATATCTCCAACTCAACTCGTCCAAAAAAATGGCTCCTCCCAGTTACGTTGATGCAAACTTTCCCTTTCAGTTAATAACAACTTCATTGTTTTTGTTGTTGCAGCCAAAAAACTGAGTCATTCTTACATTCTCACTTTTTCTCCCATCTTTACGTGTGTAAAATCCACCTCAAAATCCTATGGACACTACGTCTATAAAATATCCAGAATTTAACCAGTTTTCACTCCTTCACTGTGCCCACCCTGGTCTGAGCCACTAACGTCTCTCACCTTTTACTGCAACAGTCAACTAACAGGTCTTCACACTTCAACCGTATCTCACTAGCCTCCTATGCATTTTGTGGACACAATAGCCTTTTAAAAACCTAAGTCATATCATATCATTTCTCAAAATCTTGCATCATCTCCCCATTTGAACTCACAGGAAAAGTCTCCAGGCAATGAGCTGGTAGGTCCTTCAGGATCTGTTCCTCCCACATCCAGTGTATCTTTTCCTATTCTCCCCTTCATTTACTCTGTGCCAGCCATACTGGCTTCCTTACCATTTAAAAAACCCAGACAACGTTGCCTTAGAGTGTTTGTTCTAATAACCACTTTAACTCTGACTTGAGCTTCATCAAATCCCTCATTTGCTTCAGGTTTTGCTCAGATTTTACATTCTCCATGAAACCTGCGCTAGCCACAGAGGCCCCATGCTTCCTCTCCTCTCTCTTGGCATTCCAGATCCCTCCCAACTGCTCTGATTTCTTTGGTTATTTTTTCCATGGAATTTATAAATTTTTAACATGCTACATACTTTGCTTTCTTATTGTGTTTTTTTAATTTATTTCCCACCTCTCTCCAAATAAAATGTAAGCTCCTTGCAAAGAGGAATTTGTGTTCACTGTGTTCACAGATGTACATGTGTAAGGCATCTGAATATTTGCCTAGCACACTGAAAGAGCTCAGTGAATATTTGTAAAACAAATGGGTGAAATGCAGACATTACAGACACTATTTAGGATAGAGTAACATCTACGGATTTGAACTACTAGGTTGCCCCTGGCAGAGGCATGGACAGAGGCACACAGCACAGTAATAGTGAAACAAGATTCACCTGGGACACATTAACCACAGATCTGGATTGAAAACAATGACAATAATAATAAAATTTGATACTAAATCTTTCTTTGAGAATTTGCGTGATAGACATACAGAGAATACGGAATCCTGGCTCTATGACTGACCAATGGTGGAATCTTGGTTAAGTCATTTAATTATTTTCTGTCTCAGTGTCCCCATTTTAAAAATGGAGATAAAGTATATCCCATGAGGTTGTTTTGAGGGTTAAACAAGACAACAGATTTTCTTTTCTTTTTTATTATACTTTAAGTTCTAGGGTACATGTGCGCAACGTGCAGGTTTTTTACATATGTTGGACACAGGAAGGGGAACATCACACACCGGGGCCTGTTGTGGGGTGGGGGGAGGGGGGAGGGACAGCATTAATAACAGATTTAAAGTGTGTAGAAGAGAGCCTGCACCCAGAGGATATTAGCCTTCCTCACCTCTGTGCATTCTTTGACTTCAAATTGTTGAACAAGTGCCAAGATGTAGAATCTATCATAGTGATACCCCCTGAAGTAGGGCATGACTGTCATATATTTAAAGAACTTTTTCAAATGTCCTCCCTCATCCTGAATTCAAAATGGGACTTAGAATGAGATTCTTAGAAACATAATTTAGAGACACCACCTCCAATGTCACTCGTAGTTTGGAACCTTGAATTTCTTGGTCTATACTTGATCCAAACTCATACAACACACCTCACGTCGTTCCCCAGAGACCCCTCTCCCTCTCCATTTTCCTTTCCTCTTTCTTCCTCCCTCACCCTTTTACAATCCATTATAACTAATCTTTCTAGCTTCTACAGAACCTGGAACAGGTATTTGCAAAGAATATTCACTACATTTTGCTAAACAATTAAATAACTTAGGAAATGACCCAGTTTTTTGTTCGTCTATGATGGCATGTTTCGAATAAGACTATACTATTTTATTATTTCAGAGTTCTTATGCCCGTGTTTCAGGGCTGGGACTAATGCGTATTTTCCTAGTTATCTCCAAGTCCGGTTCCTGACGGCCTCCACCTGGACTCAGCACTTCAGGTGAATCTTTTTTTTTTTTTTTTTTTTTTGAGACGGAGTCTGGCTCTGTGGCCCAGGCTGGAGTGGGCGGCGCCATCTTGGCTCCCTGCAAGCTCCGCCCCCCGGGTTCCCGCCATTCTCCTGCCTCAGCCTCCCGAGGAGCTGGGACCACAGGCGCCGCCACCACGCCCGGCTAGTTTTTTGTATTTTTAGTAGAGACGGGGTTTCACCGTGTTAGCCAGGATGGTCTCCATCTCCTGACCTCATGATCCGCCCGCCTCGGCCTCCCAAAGTGCTGGGATTACAGGCTGAGCCACCGCGCCCGGCCTTCAGGTGAATCTTTAACAATGCTGACCCTGTGTGAATAAGGTCAATCAATCCACGTGGCCATCCCCGGCCCTTGTACCTGCTCTTCTTTTATGGCTGTTATCCTTTTGAAAATGCATGTTACAGCATTCACAAAGAAACTAGAACACTAGATTGAAACACAGTTTCTCTTCTAAACATACTTCTTCATTTGCTTATGTTTTTCTCAGAAGTTTCCTTTGGGAATTAAATATATTTTTAATGTTTCTTTCAAGTGGGTTGTTATTATTATTTTTTTTTAGGAAAGAAGCTTTCTTCTTCTCCAAGCACTTTGATTTTTTTTCTTGAAATACAATTCCTTGAGCTGAAGCTATAAACATTATTTTCTTCCTTGGAAATAGATAATTAGGTACCATTTTAAAAAGAGATTTTTAAAGGAGATACTGAAGCTCAAGTATGTAAAGAGTGACATTCTGTGAAACATGGGTATGGTTTTAGGCATGAGAAACTCTGCTAAAACATAATTATACAATGAGGAATTTCTACATGATAACAATTAACATTTAAGTGGCCAAATAATGCCTCACTCCTGTTTTACTCGGAGATGACCAGGGAGATGGAGTCTTCTAGTATAAGTGTGGCATGGCCATGGGAGGCATTTGTCAAAAATGTGAGATTGGAAGCTTCTCCAAGTAGGTGCATTAACTCTTCTTTAGTCAGATGAGGAAATCCAGTCTCAGAGAGGCAAAGTGACTTGAAAGTATGTGGTTGTTTGCAGCCTTCATTTCCTTATCTGTAAAAGGAGAGCTGTCAGCATTTTCTCCATAACATTAGAAAACATGGATTCTTGTAGCTGAGATCAGCCCATATAAAATCCCACATAACCAGTATGTCAGACAGTTGCCTCTGAACTAACTGAAGAGTAGGAAGAAATATGCCACTGAAAGATTCATGCTGATGGCTCACATTCTGCTCCAGAGGATGTGTGCCTTAAGGCCTCCTATCTCCTCACCCTTCCTTTTTCATAAACCGGGTAATGTAAATAAAAATAATGTGGCTATTGTTTTAAGAGATGTGTAGTTAATTAATTAGCTATTAATGTAACTTCGGATTATAAAGTTCCTTTTTCACCTCCTCTTTTTCCTGTCACTGATTCCTTCAAGTTACCGACTCACCTAGTTTTAAGATATTGAATCTATAAAGTCACTTCCAAACAAGTACCCAAATATTCGGCAAGTTAGTTAGGCACTGGCACCATATGTAACGCCCCAGAGAGTGACCCTGTTTCAGCGTTAATAAGTCACACTCCCATAGTTGCACAAGAAATACTGACGCAATGCTGACTCCATTTCAGTGATTAGGCCCTGAGACAAGGTATACAGGCAAACTATGGAACATGAGAAGTGTTTGTTAACAGGCATATAAATAAATGCCACAGGGAGAAAGGGGAAGGTGAGATCAATCCTTTTCGCTGGGTCTGAGGAGAGTCGCAGGTCTTTAACCAAGGAAGTGACACTGAAACAGGAGCTCTGGCGACAGGCGGGATTCTAACCTGTGTTCATGGAGGAAGGACAGGAAATTACATGAGCAAAGGTCAGAGAGATGGTATATTAGTTTCCTGTGGCTGCTGCAACAAACGACCACACGTTTCACGTCCTAAAACATCAGAAATGTATTCTTTCCCCATTCTGGAGGCCAGAGGTCGGACATCAAGGTGCCCGCAGCGGCAGGGCTGTGCTTTCTCTCGAGGCTTTCAGGGGGAATGCGTTCTTGGCTCTTTCTGCTTCCAGGGGTTGTTGGCATTGGTTGGCTTCCTCGGCTCGTGGACATGTTTCTCCACTTTCCGCCTCTGTCGTCACATTGCATTCTCTGTGTGTCTCTTACAGGGATGCCAACCAGATAATCCAGGACGATTTCAACGCAGCTATCCTTCTTCCAGATAAGGCAGTATTCACAGGTTCTACGGACTGGAAATGGACTTTTTTGTGGAGAAGCCATTTTTCAGCCGACACAGATGAAAAGGTGTCTTATAAATGACTTATTGACTATGAGTGCATGGGGAGGGTGGAGTTGGTTTGCAGTATTATACTAGCGTCTCCTATCTCGATCCTGTGATGAAAACTATACGTTTTTAACCTAAAAAATGTGACTACTGTATAAACTCAATACCTGATTTTTTTTTTTTTTAAATGAGGTAATAGACTCAGGGAGTTTAGATAATTCACTTAAAGTACATCATGGATTAAGGATACCACTTAAGTGGTAAATTTAGAATCCAAATAGAAGTAATTCATTTTCATGTTTTCTTGATAAAGGCTTTTAAACTGCATCCCCCCTTTTCTATCAAGTTATTGAAGACTCAGATCTCTCTCACACACACACACACACACGCACCCACGCACCCGTGCGCGCACACACACATGCACGCACACAATTCCAACACAATAGAGGCACAGAAACCTCATCAATGCGTCCTTACAGGTTGAGCCATAAAGAACAGTTTTTTTGAAAATCCACTAAACAAAAAAAGGTTTTCAGGTGTGGAAAACAGGAGTGCACACACCGTAGGATCCATGACAACATACTGCCATTCTTTGTTTGCACACCTGCTTCAGAGAATTGCAAACATCTTGAGGGCAGGGATTACATAACAGTGATGACATATTGTGCCCCCATACTCACACTGTTTTTTAAGTGACTATGGGTATAGCCCTGGTGGCTCTTTTAGAACAGTGATTCTTACCCCATTCCTCCAGTAACAACTGCTTGAATCAGGGGAGGACAAAAAGCATCCACCCATGGGTTGAAATACACTTTTTCTTCAATAAATAATTTAAATTATTAAAATTAGAGTCTAAGTTAGTATGTCTGAGTCATGTTATTGGTGGAGTCCAGGAGTCAAAGTCAATGAATTCAATAAATAATTTTAATTATTAAAATCAGAGTCTAAGTTAGTATGTCTGAGTCATGTTATCGGTGGAGTCCAGGAGTCAAAGCAATGAATTCTTATTTTGATTCAATGAGCTGCCCAAGTATCCTTCCTAAAAGCCTCTTTACTGGAGCCGGCACACTTAAGATCGACAGAACATCTCCCCACGTGTGCAATGAGAGTGTCCCACCTGGATTAGTGGCCTCCTGTTCACCACTTCTGACCCTCAGCCAGAGAGGGTTGGAACGTGTTACCTGGCTGTAAACTATAGACACCAAGGGCACCATCACTCCTTTGGAGAATATTAAAGAAGCCACTGTGCATCACGACAGTTTTCCACTTTTCTGTTATCCCTCACTGAAGTTATCAAATTTATAATCAGGGAGCAAATGCTCTCACCCAGATCCACTGACCACTGGCTATTGCCTGCAAAGCTGATGGCCAGGTGAAAAATTCGTGAAAAATATTTGAATCTATATATATTTTGTAGACAAATATTCCACCTGTCATAATATACCATTTTTGAAAAACTGATTGATCGTTCCTGTCTCTGCTATTGCTGTGCATTAGCATTTCTACCCTCACATTTCAGAGTAAGCGCTTGGAATACATTGGCTCTAGGGTACAAAAGAAAAGCACACACATCATAAAAAGGCGTCAGAGAGAATGAGCTCAGTGGAAAATGGCATCTGGCTAAAAAGTGGACAATGGATATTTGGGGCCAATTAAGGTAAGTAAAGCCATCAGCTCAGTGACAACTCTCTTTAAGTTACTCTATTAAACAGGTTCACCCCATCACATAGTGATGGCAGCAGTGATGGCAGTCGGGGAGTCGTGGCCAGGACTGTCCACTGCACTGAGCCGGAGCTGAGAAGAGGCGGGAGCCCTTTCACTTCAGAGCTGGAAGGGGCATCTCTGCACTCTGGGAGGCGCAGGAAGCCGCCTTCGCTGCGGGTCTGGAATGCCGGCTCCCCCCGCCTGGTCTCCCCCGCTCCTGGCACCCACCCTGATTTTGGAGCAAAGTTGTGGCTAGGCCTGTGTGCTGTCACCGCCCAGCTGGGTGTGCACGTGCATGGGTAGTGCTGACACGCCAGTCCCCTGCTGCCTCGGCCCCCTCGGGACTGTGGGTGCCGATGAACATCGGAGACAGGCCGAGTGGGGACTGAGGGTGGGGGCTCGGCCTGCGCCTGCAGGCACCCCTCAGCACAAACAGCCTGGGTGCCGTGAATGGTGGCAGGAGGCAGGCAGACTCCTCGGCAGAAAGCGACGGGCCCCTGGTGAAATCCCACCTCCAAGCCAGCGACAGCCTGAAGCCTGGGGGCCGGGCTGCCCGTTCCAGTGACTGGAGTAGAAACTCAGGGTACTTTTTCCGGGCCCGCCCATGGCCACCCATAAACCAATCAGCATGCACATCCTCCCTGCTGAAGCCCATAAAAACCCTGGAGTCGGCCAGACTCACAGAGATCACCTGCTGTGGGTCACTTCTCTGTGAGGGATGCAGAGACAATGGGATGGCCTGCCTGCAGATGGGAGCTAACCACTCTGGGTCTTCTTGCCACTAAAGGCTGCACAGACACCGGGACAACCTGCCTGTGGAAGGGGCTACCCCCTCTGGCTCTCCTGGGAGCTGTACCGTGACTTCGCCTTGCTCACCCTCCAGTTGTCTACGCACCTCATTCTTCCTGGACACGGGACAAGAACTCAGGACCCACCCAAGGGCGGTACTGAAAGAGCTGTAACCTAAACGGGGCTGACAGATTCCCCCACCCCACCCCCACCCTCGCCACTCTCCACACTGCAAGGAGAGAAGAGAGAAAGAGAGAGGAGGGGAGGAGAGAAGAACTGCAGCCCTTCAGGGAGCCCAGACCTAGGAGCTCCCCGAGCCAGAGCTGTGACACCCTCTTTGGGGCTCTGCGGTTCCTGTTGTCTCCAAGCTTCTGACGTCACCACATTCCCCAGAGCCCACGCTGGGAGCCGCTCGTGGTGTGCCTGGTCCAGCAGCAGCCTCGCATAAAGCCGGTGCCCATGCCGGCACCTGGAGCTACCTGCCCCACCACAGCTGGTGTGCCTGTCTGTGTGCGGTGAGCAGACCGCATGCTGGCTGGCTCACTCACCCCTCACTGCTCTGCACCTGGCTCACCTGTGGCAGGCATGGGATCTGGGCCAGTAGTGCCAGGCAGGTGCAGGCTGCCAGGCTGAGTGGGCCCAAACACAGCTTGGGCTTGGGCAAAGGCACCACCAGTCACAGAGGCTTCGAGCTGGCAAAGTGACACCCCAAGGGTCCTGTGACAAGAGGACTTCATTTTAATCTCTACTGAGCGACACTGGGCCCTCCGCCTAAGGCAAAGACAATGATGTTCTCCAAATGTTTTGCTTTTTTCCCATATTTCCTAGTCCTTTGAAAGTTGTGACTAGATATGGCCAATAAGTGGTGCACTTAAGTGACAAGAATCAATTCTAGACTAAGCAGTAAAATTTATGGATGGAATTTTTCACTTTCTTCTCCTGCAACAGGGAACCTAGAGACCTAGTATTTCAGAAGTAGGGGAGCTCCCCCCACATTGGATCCCTGAATGAGTCTATGAAGCTGAAGCTTCCGCACCACCTGCTCATCTGCTGCTCATGCTCCATGAGAAGGAAACACGCTTGTTTTAAGCCACTGACATTTTTGAGGCTTTTCCTTCTACATGGTCTAAGTTGAATATGTTAAATTAAAGCCAAGTCATAATAGAACAAAAACTTGGGGCAATAGAAAGATTATAGGCTCAAAAGGAAAGATGTGTGTTTTTAACTTTGCAAATCCAAGGAAGTTCTAATCCTATCCAGTCTTGGAAAGGTGATCTGGAGGCTTTAGAAGTGTTTATTCTATTGCTGGCCCTTTCAGCAGGACCACCCCATCCAATGTCCCTGTCCCTGCAGTGCATGAAAGCAGTATCTGCTAGCGAATGGTCTTCCACATAATCAATCAGGATCAATCAGTCTTACCCTTTTCTTCCACTCCCTGTCTGATTATACCATGCTTTTCTGCTCATTCTTATTTTTATTACTTTTTTTTTTTGATTCAAGGCTGTATTTCTGCACATCAGCTTGAACTGTTGCCTATACTCCCTCTTGTATGTAACACCTTTTCTGACTCACCTCCTGGCATATGGGCCTGCAGAGATTCTGGTTCAGTCTGGCCCCTTTGGCCTCTAGTGTCGTTGCAACCTAGCAAGGGAAAGGCTCCCTGCCTGTGCCTCTCCATCATTTAAGAGATTAGATTCGGTTCCTTGATGAAAATGTTTGATTTTTCCGAACATTTATTTTGCCCTTTAGAAGGGCATTCTTTCTAATGCCCAAAATAACACATGCTAGCGGACAAGAAGCCTGCTTGACTACTGAGACCTTTCGGGTCTCAGTGTATTCTAGTTTGAATGCTATTGCTATTCCTGATTGCCTGCAGTTTGATACCCCTGTGCAAATTCCTTTTCTCTGATGACCGAACTATAATACCTCAGAATTTTTTCCTTGTATTTATAAAATATAAAAGCAAAAACTTCTTTATATCCTAACAATGCCATTTAAAATTTTTATGTTATAACAAACCCAAAATAAGCACTATCTTTAAAAAAAACCCTAGCACTTTCTGACATTTGACATTCAGAAATATCTTCTAAAAATAATTACAATCAGCATGGCCACTTGTAACAAGGTAGGTCAGTACAATAAGATCACTACAATGAGATAAATTACACTGCACTCAGATAACTACAATGATATAAATTGAAATGAAAACATGGTGTTAAGCTTTGTTTAAAAAGACAAAATAGAACAAGAAATTGGGAGAATTATATGCCCTATTATAACTTAAAATGATTAAATATTATCTTTCTTTATTCAGTTAATCTTTTTTTCAAATTGCATGAAGGTATTTTTCTTTCTAGTTTAGAAAATGTGATGGATGAGTTATTTCTTATGCTTTGAGTTTAAACACCACACTCATATTATTCAATTGGATGAAGCACATTGGCCCCATTGTCCAAGGCCACTGACAAACATCACAGGTTCTTCTTAAACCACACATGGAGCTAAAAGGATAGAATGGGTGGAATAAAGAGTCTACATTCTTTAAGAGTAGATGTTACATCTTATACGTTGTCAAGTTTGACAGAAGACTCATCCACTGTAGACTGCAATGAACACTTACTTGAACTGTTTCCCTAGTAGTGAAGGATAATGAAATGTAGATATGTTCCTGATGCCTGACACCAGGATTTGGGTAGGTGGTTGGAGATAGCACCTTCCTGAGTTAATTCGTGTGGTGCTAACAACATCATCTGCCTACTAATGTTGTCTTTTTACATTTAGCACAGCAGACTTTGGTAACCTGCCTAGACCAGAATACAGGCCTTCTTAGGAGTAAGCAGCTTTGCAGAGAGATATGGACAGCCAACAAGAAATGGTGGAAACTTAGATACCTACACAATAATAGCAGGAGACTTCAATACTCCGCCGACAATACTAGACAGATCATCCAGGCAGAAAACTAATAAGATATCTGGGACCCGATTAGACACTTGACCAAATAGCCCTAACAGATATCTAAAAATCACTCCACCAACAAGAGAACATACATCCTTCTCATCTGCACATGGTGCATACCTTAAAATTGGCCAATGCTCAGCCATAAAGCAGTTCTCAACAAATTGAAACAAAAGTCATATCAACTACACCCTTGGACCATAGCACAATAAAAATATAAAACAATAGCAAGAAGATTCATCAAGATCATGCAATTACATGGAAATTAAACCTGCTTCTGAATAACTTTTAGGTAAATAATGAAATTAAGGCAGAAATGAAGAAATTCTTTATAACTAATGAA